AAACTAAAAATTATTAAAGGATATTTAAGGAGTACAATGATGCAAGATCGTTTAAGTGGCCTGACGTTAATTTCAATCGAACAAGAAACAGCCCGAGAAGTTGAACCTTTGRAAATTTAATCGATATGYTTGCCGAAGCAAAAGCAAGAAAGAAGAAATTTTGTATTGCTTTGTATATATTTTTTAAACCAAAAAAATGTTTAGTWAAATTTTRCTATAAAAATAATATTACACCAAACATGTTTTTTATTGTTCGTAACCTTTTATAGAAGGGTAGAATTTTATAGGTGGTTAATTTTTGTAGGCTATTCGTCATATCTCTTTCTTCCAAATTTATAAAACTAAGGGCCCGATTGGATTATTTTGCCACGAGCATTAAAAGTTCTAGTTACGCCACTGGTCATAATTTATCTGTGATGCTAGTTCTTGTTCTACAAATATCGACATCATTGCATCCAAATATCCAATCTTTCTTGCAACATTCGGCTTCTTAATTAAATAATTCATCTTCAAGCAGTGGCATAGGTAAGGACGGTTAGGTACATAGGAATTTTATTATTTTCATTATTTCACCAATATGAGTCAAATTACCATTAATCAAGTATAATATAAACTCATAAGTCATAACTAGACATTTTTAAGGGAGCCGGTAAATTGTAATAAAGACATAAACAATAATAGCCTATTATTAATAGGTACAAATAGAGATTGCACAATATTATTTTATATTACAATTTATTAGGTATATTATAAATATTATTATTTAAATAATTCTTATTTATAAAAAAAAAATATATATTGACAATTTAATTTATATTAAATGTTTATTGCGAATTCAATCTTGTTAAAAATACTTTTCAAATGTATTCAGAATATGTATTTGGTGTTATTTGTATTGAAATATCAAACATACATAATACGTATTTAAAAACTGTCTTTTAAAAGTATTTTAATATAAATACAAATATATTTTTAATGAGTAATTTTTTGTATTTTATTAAAATTATTTTATGTTTATTATTATCGCAAATGTATACTTAAAATACATTCTTTAATTGGTTCTAAAATGTCGGATGTCACAAATACCATACCTATATTATATTGTCAAGTTAAGCTTCAGCAAGGAAAGTATAACAATGAATGCAAATTAAATAATGTTTTTTTAAAGTTGGGTATAAATACTTACAGTGAAACTTCTATATTATGAGGTCATATAGACCACATTCTTTTCATACAATTTTGTAAAATAAAATGCATCAGGTTTTAATTTGGTTTGCGTCATTAGCGCAACTATGAAAATTTATCTGAGGGGGCTAAAATTGTGTAAGCAGCAGTGCAGCACAGAAACTGAAGCTATGGATAAAATTGGGAAGTTGAGCACCCCCCTTAATAGTGCTTATGGTATGGTATGGTTCTCAAAAACATCTAGTTTACCATTTTTTTAATTAAAAGTTTTGAATTTATATATAGTTGCACATGTTTGATGTTTTGTTATAATTTGAAAAAAATATCATATGTACTCTAAAATACCCATGTGCACATTTGTGATAATGATAAAATATAGGTATGTCAGCAACAACACGTATTTGAATCTTATTTGTACATCTTCACTGTTTCTCATGAGTTAGGTTATCCGATTTTCATGCTTTAATATATGCAACCAATGAGAGGAGGTAAACGTAACACACAGGAAAGAGTGGGGGATATGCGTATCACAATATCGCTGACATACCTACATACTTTGTAATGTGTATATTCGTCCAATATCTATCCAGATAACAGTATAGTAGGTGATTTTCATAGCGATCTCTTAATGTTTATAATAATTTGAAAACAAGAACAATTATTGGATGGCTAAGTATATTTTAAAAGTGAAGTAGTTAGTTAATATGCATAACATTAATAGATTTCCAATGCTTAATTAAATTAGAATAATTATTTTAAACACAACATCATATAATATATAAAATGTAATCATACTACACTTTAAGTTTGTAAAATGTAAGCTGTTATAATCATTTTTTTGATTGAATAATTTTCAACATGATAATAATCAATTTTGAAACATAAGATGAGTAGCACCATTCATTTCTGATGCTACTGTTACGCCTGCAACATGTAGGTGGTTTTGTCCGCCAATCGGTACTTTACATTCAGGACAAGTAGCTTGTTGCATTGGCCCTCCACATTCAGTAATAACATAAATGTGTCCATTTCGACACTTGAACCAGTGTCCTTGACCGCGTTGGCCGTCAAAGAATTCGGTGGACATTGCTTTGTGTATCATTTTCCTCTCATCGTTGCTGATCACTGCCAGACCATCAAATTTTTCTTTAATTAACTTTGATAACTTTTCTATGTCTTTGTCTCTATCAACAGTGTATATTTTACAAGACATTAACAGAGCTTCCATATTCCCTACTAAGTCTTTTAATTCAGTTGTATAAGAATTTTGCATCACACCGCCATATGCCATCTTAAACTTTGTAGTGCACATCATGTCGAATAAACTTATTAACCTGGCACCTCTAGCAACTTCCATATTTATATCATTTTTCTGCTGGTTAGATAATTGTCTAGAATAAGTAAGAGCAACTTCAAGTAACCACTTAAAATGGTCAGTGATGATTTGTTTCTTTTGTACATCATTAATATTTTCAATTCTATTTTTGATCTTTGAAGTAGTTTCAAACAAATCAATGACAAAATTTAATGATTCTAAATCTTTTATAGGTAAATAGAATTTGTGTTGTTGCTTTCCAACAAATTTCAATGAAGCTAAAAATGTAACCCATAGACGTTTGATATTATAATATCCATAATATTGTTCACCAATATAATTTAAATCAAACTCAGTACTCAAGATTTTTATGGATTCAATAATTTTTTTTTTGCTTTTTTTAATAACATCTAGTTTACCATACATTTTTTTTTTGATTATTGAAATGTCTTCTACTATAACTTTTATTTGGTTCATGAAACGTTGGGTTTTTAAAATTGGTGTCTTACATAATGGACACTCTTTCAAACATATTTCTTCTTTATTTAGGTTTATCCAATTAGTTAAAGCATCTGATTCAATGATGTGTTTACAGTCTTCTAAGTAAACAAACCTAAACAAAAAAATTTAACAAAATGAAATTTTGTGTCTTAAGAAGAAGTAAACCATGAAAAAGAATTGGGTTAACAATCTATTGCTACTTAAGAAGCAACTGGATCAGGACAGGTCTTTGATAAGAGTTCATATTTAATAAGATGTCAAAATAACTGATGTAAATGTTTAAAAAATAAGATTCATTGAAATTCAAAATGACATTCTAATTTACAAAGTTGTGAACTACTTTTATTAACCTAAACATATTAAATATATTTATTTTTTTCTGATAAAAGAATACCTTTAAGTTTTAATACTATTTATTTTGTATCAACAAAATTTAGATTTATTAAAACAATTGTATTGTATTTTTCCCTTATGAGTATTTACATTCTACATAAATGTTTGTATTTTCTAGAATAATAAAATAGTAATAATAATTAATAGCTTTGAACTACCCATACAATTTACAAATTAATTTTTTTTCTTCACGTATATGCATTATATTCTGTAATATTAAATTGGTACTAGGTAGTAAATAGTTTTTTGTGCGCATATAAAATTCTAAAATTAATTGTCTTTAATATGATAAAAGGAAATTGATTATCCTAGTGATTTCTCTATTCTATAGGCTACTAATTTGTTGTGTCATTTTATGAATTGCATAGTTATAATACAAAATAGTTAGGAAATGAATGTAAAAAAAACTACGCTTCTTTAAAAATCACCAGGTATTGTGTAGAATTCCTAGGCATTTCATACATTAAATATATTACACACATTTACACTAACATACACTTTCACTGCTGTTGCAATGTACAATGATATACCTAATCTTTGTCTGATATGACAAAGTTGTATCTTGTCTTCAGCAAAACTATACAAATGAATAATTTAATTTAATTTTCATATTTACTGACAGTATTAAAATTAATTTAAATAGATATGAAAAAAAAATTACAAAATACATTTAGTATTTCTGTATAATTAAACGTACCTTGCATTTGGTTCATCTTCATTACCAAAAATGATTGTAGTAACTTCATCTTCTTGACAAATGCGACATAAAGGAGGACATGGTTCACCACAAAAGCCTATACATTCATGCCTACATTTCAACTTTAATGTACAAGGCTCATAACAGGGTTTTCGATCACATATTTCATTACATTTTTTAGTGCATTTCAAATGTGGACACTCCCATTCACATTTTTCCTATATATATAAAAAAAAAAAAACAAAAATATAATAATTCACTAAAAAGAAATATATACATTTTTTTTTTTATTGGTTATTGTGTTATTACCATGCACGGTGCACATTCATCACCACACCGACGAGGACATTTAGAATGGATACAAGAATAAATACAGTTTTGATTACAAGGTGGACACCGTTCCTTACAGGGGAATTTACATCTATAAAAATTGTTAAATATAAGATTATTAAAAAATCAAGATTTTTTATAAAAATAAACACATACGTATGATTACATGGGTTTATCTTATTGCAAACTTCACTGCATGGTACATGTAAGCGACCTTGTTTACAATCTCCACATGTGCCCAAACAAATGTCGCCACAATTTAGTTTTTGTAGACATGGTTCACGACATTTATCAAGAAGATATTGGCTGTCCAGTCTGAACTCTACAGTATATTATTTTTATTTATTAGTTCAATTTTCTATTTGCACAACATAAGTATAGGTATTACAAATAAAATGTATAAATGTAACAATCAAACATTATTCATAAAATCAATAACATCATAATTTTTTTTTTCCAAACTTAAAAGATATTTGAATAACAAACAAGTGTATACATCAACTGTATTTCATACATATTATAAGCTTAACTGAAAAAATTTCTCAATAAATAAAAATAATAAATTTTAAATTTTAAAAGTTAAAATGTATATTTAATATCATTTTTTTTTACTTCGCTGCCTTCTATCGAGGGATAAATAAGTCAAACGACCATATTGTTTTAATGAATGAATTATACATAATTAAAAACACTTATATGTAACATTTTGAATTAAAAATAAAATGTTTCAACAGTATAATAATTAATCACATTACCTTTATCTTTGTCACAACAGAAGACAAAAACTTTATTATGACCACATGCAAGTTTACTGATTTTTTGGACTACAATTTCATCACATTCTTCAAGGATACATTCTTTTGCACACACATTCTTACATTTATGTCCACAAGTTAAAATTCGATCACATTTATTATTGCAATGCTTACGTTGTGGAATTTTTTTACATTTAATTGTAATTGAGTGTCCACAGTCTGGTATCACTTTTTTAACCTGAAAAGAACATAAAATTAACAACAGACTGACTGAAGAGRATATTAAGCTTACTTTTATTTCACAAGGTTTACATGGTTCATAGCATTTAGCTAAACATTTATGACCACATTTTAATGGACGAATGCATGGTAAATTACATTTAATCTCATTAGAATTTAATCCACAAGGAACATCATTTTTAATGTGTCCACAAGGCAGAGTTTTCTCGATTTTAACAGTACATGATGAACAATCTTCATAACACATCTTTAGACATTTGTGATTCAGAGAGCATTTTTTATTAATATTTTCACAAGGTTTAAGGCAATTATACTGTGAATAAAATGTTTAACATACTATAATTATTACTATACCTTACAATATGAATACATTTAAAAACCTGACTCTACCTTCTCRTGATCTGGATCATCATTTATGTGACAATTACGCTCACAAGCATGACCACAATCTAATCGAATATAACATTTAACTGAACAATTTGGGTTTTTGTCATGACATTTTCTAATTACCTTATGACCACATTCATTTATAATTGATTCCACCTAAATTAAAATTTTTAATACGATTTGTAATTAAAATATACACTAGGAATATTAGAAGTGCAATTGTAAAACTCCAACCATTTCTTCACACAGAAAAGTATTAATATCAACATAACATGGTAATAGCGATTGATGACCACATGGTAACTCTTTTGTCATAAGTACGTTGCAATTTCCACACTCCATATAACATTTTTTTATGCATGGGTGATTAAAATCGCAGGATCTATAATACACAAATATATTATATATTGCAAAATAATAAATTATAATTTTTTTTTTTTTTAATGATAAATAAAATCTTAAAAATGAAAATAAAATACATTTAAAAAAAAATATTTTACTTGTTACAAGGCTCCTTGCATTTCAATACCAAATGTTCACGGTCATGAGAATGGCATACACTTGAACAATAATGACCACATATTAACAATGATTTACACAACATTGTACAACCACCTTCCATAATTATATTGAAATCTTCACTCTTTGAAACCTTAGTTATAATACCAGAATGTACGGCACATTCTAAAGTCAATTCATCACCTTGAAACATTAGGTAAAAAAATAAAATGTCATCAACCAAAAGCTAAATAAAAATATATTTACCATATGAAYATTGATTTACTAATGTTTCTTTTATTTGTTTCCACAAATTACCAGAATTGTACAAATTTTCCATGTTACCAATTATATAAAGTCCATATTTTGCTCTTGACAATGCAACACATATTCTATTTTCCGTTTTCAAAAATCCTACATTTCCCTTTTCATTACTTCTAACTAGTGACAGCAATATGATATCACTTTCTTCTCCCTGATAATTATCGACAACTGTTATTTTCATGCCATCTAACATGGGGTGTTTTTTCCTTAACTTAAAATACATTAAAACATCAATTAATCGTATTATATAATAATTTTATAAAAATATAATAATAATTTTTTCTCTTCTTAGACCTCATCTTACATTTCCAACTATATGTGAACACCATATTCATAAAGATAGATCTCCTTTCTCAGGTACACGCTATTTTCTTGTCATTCTTTGTTTCAAATATAAGTATATAGCTTTGTTTCAACTTTTCTTTTTTATTAATCACAATTTTTCATTCTACAATAATTTCTAAATCACCTTATCATATTGAAAAATGCAAAGTAATAACATTTTCTAGGTCTTGAGTTTACTTCTTCAGTCTTATCATATCATTAAGTCTTCATCTTAGATCATATACTATGGATGGAAATATGCCTATCTCGTCTGTGTAAACAATTTGAAGAACATAATATTAGCAACTAGTCTCTCATTAAGACGCATTATCTGCACATGGGCAAGTATACTGGTTTAATATTTATTATTTATGAATTCCCAGGGAAAATTCAGTTATTAGAACAATGATTACACACACACATGCAAAGATAGCAAATCTCAAAGAGTAACTCTTTGCTTATATTATGTGCTTCAAATTTTGAGAAATGGCTCCATCCATAGTATATGATCAAAGGTATTCAATAGTATGTGTTCATATTATCAGTGATTTAGGTATAATATTTTAATATTTGATTCTACTCTTTCAATTAACACTTATTAAATACAATTAGTAAATCTCCTCAAATATTAGGTACTGTAAATACTAAACCTATTGTTTTAAAATTATTATTTACTTGTCTAATTTGAATAAAATTAAAATATAAGTCAGAATTCCATAGGGTCAACATATTTAAGATATCAAGTGTAATTTTAAGATAATGTTCAATCTTGTTTCCATTGCTTTATGACCTTCAAATGTAAGATAACTTGTGTAACAGTCAATATTGTCTCATAAGTATTAAAAAACCGATCATTATTCTCTTACGTGCAATCTTTTCGACACCAAACATCAGACATTTTCTCCATAATGCTATTTTTGATGTTCCCTCAAAATCACTCATTCTTTTGTATAATCAACTCTGATTAAATATAATCATTTTACTAAATACAGCTGCTTTTTATTCTTCTAGTCTCTCATTTACTTGTTTCAAGCTTTTTTCCGTCTCCCACTTACCATCTCAACTACATAATTTGCAAACATCATGGCACATCAAAATCAAAATGATAAAAATATAAGTACAAATGAAATTAGTAATATAATTTATATTCTACAAACAAACATGAATTAACATACAAATTGAAAAAAATATGAAAACTTACTGAACGAATTAGAAATAATTGACCACTGTAAGTTGTTAATATGGTCACTTGATTAGTTGAATATCCTTGTAAAATTAAATGCCTTGCAAACATAATCAAAAATTTAGCTTCATGATCATTACTTTTGCTTGAGATTTCCTCAACCTAAATGCACAAAAATATTGTATTAGACAAATTATATTGTGATGAAATATAATCAAATAACATACTTCATTTTCATACACATTATGGTTTAGGAAAAACATATCTTTTTTAACTCCACGGATATGTTCTCTATTGTAAACAGAAATATGATTTTTCAATTCATTGTAGATTGATGGAGTTATAAGAGATGCTATTTCAGGGCGCATTCTATGTTGTTCACCTAATGTGTAACAAGGTACTTCATTGTTGACCATACGTTCAAACAATGAAATATCAAAGTTAAAATCTTTTGCCAATTTGTAAACTGCATTACTAGGACGAAGTTGTTTATGGTCACCTATAAAATGAAAAATAATTAACTGATGTTAGGTGCCATAATTGTCAACATTATTTTTCTCATAAGATGAATAATAATAACCTATCAATATTAAGTGTTGGCAATGTCTTGTTAGTGATGAAACAATGTGGGCCTCCAGAACTTCAGCAGCTTCTTCAACAACAACTAAATATGAAAATTAACAATTACATTTTTATAAAGAAATTGAAAATCTTAATACATACCAATTGGTGACTCTAGACCTTCCAGCATTATTCTATGCTTAGCAGCACCAGTAGTAGTTAATGCTATAACATGCATCTTGTTTAAAAGTTCTATATTTTCCAACTCCCTAAGTTCAGAATATTGCTTATAAACTTGAGTATACTTTTCTTCATAACTCATTATTTTTGGCTCAAACATCTCTTTTGTTTTCCTTACCCAACAAAAATATAAAGACCATCTTTGACTCATATTTAATCCATATATATTTTGAATTGATTTCGGTAATTCAATATCAGTATCAACCAAATTCAACATATTTTCAAAATAATCGTGTATCTTTTCCATTACAATGAAGTTAAATTTGGCTTCTTCAGATGCATTATAGAAATTTGCATCCAAATTTGATTGATTCACTAATTGTATATTCTTTTCAAGTAATTCCTTACAAGAATGTTTTACATTATCTAAAAGTAAACTATAAATAACAACATTTTTAGGAATATAATCTATATCCTGAAAATCTGGTTCATATTGTTTATCTTCCTCATCATTGACACCATCATCGACACCATCATCTTCTTCATTCACAACTTTTTTAATTTCTAATAATTTTTCAGAATTATAAACCTTATCAATCAAGTCGTGGCTAATTTCAGTTAAAAACCTAATTGGGTCTACACTAAAATAATCAGTATCTTGAAATAACCAAGAAAGAAGATCTAAGGAAGTTTTAAAAAAACCATGATATTTTTTAGGCATACCGTTTTTCAGTAGCGATAACTCTAGTATTCCAGCATTATATGACACTGCTTCACTACATTTCTTTAAATATTTTATGTTATCCATAGTTGTTCTGACTTCATCTTGGACATTTCTTAGACCTCTATTAGTAGTAATGGATCTTCTGTACAGGCGGGCTATATTTCTTAAACTATATTGTTCTATTATTTCAGATTTGGATTGCCCACCAATTCTTATAACTTTTTTAGTAAAACTTAAAATACCCTCCATGAACTGATCCAAGGCGTGGTTAGTATAACACACGACTAAGATTGGTTTAAAGAGACAACAATTGTTATATAAATTATTTATAATGGTTTCCATAATTTTTAATCCTATGAAAGTTTTACCAGTACCAGGGGGTCCTTGAATAACTGTAAATTCTTGAGTTAGCGCTGCTCTAAATGCTCTATATTGCATTCCATCAAGTTTCAACTGTTCTTTGGTAGGCCATTCATATTCATTCAGTATATTGAATTTTTGTAAATTGTTAATGGAATACATTGGTCTAGGTAATGTGTCAATATAATATGGATAATCTATTTCATTACAAGCAGATATTATATATTTTTCCATCGGAAAATTACAACTATTAATATTTTTAAGTACTTCCATGGAACACTTGTAAGGTTCAAAAAAAACCTCGCTCTCGATCATGGTGAGAGATCTATCATATAAAGGCTTAGCATTTTCTAATAATTCCACAATCAAGACTCCTTTTTTTAAAAGTGAAACTTTTCGCTCCAAAACAATACCCAAAAAAAATGTCTTAAAATTATTGGTAGAAAATAGCAATAAAGAACCATACATAAAACGTTTAGCAATGTCCCAGTTGATTTTCAATTTTTTTTTTTTGTCAAAGTTTACCTGGTAGCCATATTTATCACGAACAAATTCGCCTTCTTTTAGAAATCCAACATCACGATAAATACGAATATTATTAATTTTTTTTTGACGTTGAGGTTGACGATCAATTATTGATTCTTTGTAAAATTGTATACCTTCTCGTAAAGGAGCAATAAAATCTTCACGTAGAAGTCGAAATTGAACGTCCAAATAGTGTTCTACATTCTGATAAGCTCCTTTTGTGATATTAGGTCGTAAAAATGGTTCTCCAGATTCAAGATCAATTGCTGTTGGATATACCGTAAGTTCCCTAAAATTTTCAGGAGGAGGCATAATTTGAGCTATGTTTTCAATCATAAATCTTTCTTTTAATTGTAATTCTTCTGTAACTTTGGTTTCATTCAGTTTTTTTAGGAGTTCGTTCATTTCAAAAATTGTAGATTCATTTATTTTAATATGATTACAATAATTTTGAATACCAGATAAAGCAATATTACTGCTTACTACTATCTCCTTCAATTTTTCTTCAGCTGTTTTTGGAAATAATGTAGTTATATTTTGAAAAACTACTAAACAATCTTCATAAAATGCGTTCATATTGTTGCATAGATTTTTGTTTTTTTCAGAAGGTGTACTGAGTATATAGGTTTGTATATGATTAAAAAATTGACTACATGTTAATTCTGTTAATAAAAAAATTTTATTTTGTAGTAATTCTGAAGAACAAACCTTAGCTGAAACTTTCATAAGCAAATAAATCCAATCAGGATCTATATTTTGTTTAAACAGATCAATAAATCCATTATTTTTATTACAAATCACAAATATAATGTCAGAAGGATCCTTATCACATAACTCTTTGAGTTGCTTAAATCCAAAACAATACTTTTTGATTTTTTTTTCATTAGTGCCATTATCCAAGTCTGGTTTTTGTTCATTTTTATTCCCCCCCCACCCTTCACTCACATTTTTTGAAGTTTGTTTCAATAATATCCCGCGCTCATGTCGATTTCCTGAATTAAATTTTAATGTCTCCTGTGATTGTTTATTACCTGAATTCTTTTTTTTTTTTTTTGGTTCTTTCTCTGTATTAGAACTAATTGAACGTGACTGTCCAGTTTGAAGTGTGAGTGATTTAAAATCAAATTGGATGTTTTCTGAATTTACTGATCGATTTTTTCTTGATTTTCTAGGATGGCAGTTTTGACCTTGGTCGTTCTGATTTGTGTGTCTTTGATTAGACATAATATAATTTCAATATACAGCTAGTCATAGAACTGCATATGTATCCTGTAATAGTATTAAATATATCTATAGTAAATAATAGACTTAAATAAATTTTATTGAGTTTTTTTATTAGCATAATTTATTTTTATATTGATATTATAATTATTTAATTTTTAAGAATATATACATACATAATTTTAGATTTTGAGCAGAGTATTATATAGTAGTATTAATAACAATGTATTAATTTAATTGTATAAAATGCATAGTAGTTTTCAAAAGCATCAGGAAAAACAAAATAATTAGGGAAATCTTTGATGTTTATGCGAAATCAGTTTTCAATTTATATATTTATATTTATATTTCATATTATGGTTTTTAGTATAACGTTAAAAAAAAAACCGTGAATATCTTTATGGTAATATTAGCAATATCTATGCATAATAAAATTTTCAAAATATTGTTATTCTTTATAAGCTATTTAAAGGAATAAGAAAATTGCAATTCTTTTTTATAAGTATTATTGATAAAAATTGTTTTCCACTGCTTCAAGAAACATTTGAAAATGTTGCATATTCTTCTTAAGTTGTTGTAAGTAGAAATAAAAAAAAATTTGAGTGTAAATCTACAATAATTTTTATGAAAGTCTGAAGTAAAAATGTTGGCAATATTTATCAAAATAACATAAATTGGCCAACGATTCAAATAAAAAATTCATAAAAATTTTCTATGTATYTAATAATTAAAATGTTTATGCAAGATTCTTCTTAAGTTTTCCTACATTTAACAAAAAAAAATTATTGGTATATTCATGAATGTTGACACATACAATGAAATTTGTTGTTATTCAAAAATTATTATCCACAAGTACTTGAAATTTTCATTAAATTTTTATTTGATAACTTTCTATGCATAATACGAAGTTCCCTATAAATAATTACAAAAGCAGTTAATAGATATTAATCGTTAAGCATGACACATGACTTGATTTTATAAGTAATTAAAGTTTAATTTTTGACCAAATTTATCAAAACTTTGAATTATTTTGTAGTTAAATAATTATAAAATCTTTAATTTTTATAGCTAAGGATGAATAGTTTAAAAAAAATGTTCATAAATAGTTCATACATGAAAACCAAAAAATCCAAAAAATATATAGCCAAATTACATATTAAAATCAAGAATAATGATTTTAGTTACTTTGTTGTAACTTATAAAATACATTATTGATGGGCTTATTAGACATCTGAGTACATTATTATATTGTATACAGTCTACACACAATGACATTTTCAAATGCTATTTCGATGAATGAATTTAACCAACTATACCTAAAATTACTTCAATCACAATAATATCATGAAATTAATTTAGTAATGTTATAAGTGGATAGGCCGTCTTCTCTCAGAATTGTTAATATTATAGAATCGCTATTGAATTAAAATTGAACTAATTCATAACAGTGACTTCATATACACCTAATGTACACAGCTACACATTTTAATTATAGTCAATTAACCCAAAATACAAAGTTTTATTTTGCATATTTTCCCATCACTTGACATATACTGCATATGTCTGTATTTTACAAATTTTTATGGCATACACACGGTTTTTAAATGCATATTACGTTATATTTTGCTTGTATTAATTAAAATAACGTAAATAGCTGTATTTATAGTCCATGTAATTTGAAGAATTCGTTTTCTGAGACCAATCAAGACAAGTAATAATCTGTTATTGAGTAGGTTTTCATGAATCTTACATTGGCCATGTTTGTTTCTTCATGTTGTTTGTGATCCGAGTGCACGTAATTTTGATTTGATTTAATTTATTTATATTTTAAATGCCAAAAAGCGGGTAAGTCGTGGATGTCGTTCTGCTGTACAGTAGGTTACTGTAATGGATGGGATTAAATTTGAATGCAATGATAGGTATCATTGTATACGAAAAACGATTCTGAACAGAGATGATTTGTCAATCTAGGATATATTATATTTAAATATTGTCATATATTCTATTTTGAAACAAATATTTTATTTTTCAATTAAGACACCTTTTGCATAAGGCATGGTTAATCAATTTTTCCAAATACATTGCATAAAGTTATCATAATTCATAATACCTTATATTACCATAGATATTATACATATACCTGGTTTGAGGATAAATTGTTATCATTACGCGATTTCATAAAAATTTAAAACTCAAACGCTCAAAACATTTTTCCTATAATGACG